TTGAAACATGGTGGTGGCAGTATCGTGGCCTGGCACTGTTTTGCTGCTAATGGACAAAGGCAGCTTGCTATCATTTATTGTTACTTGGAATTCTGGATTGTACAAGAAAGTTTACAGGAGAATGTTGGGGCATCCATCCCTAAACTGAACCTCACAAAAGCTTGGTCATGCAGAAAGACAACAACTCTCAAATCACCAGCAAGTCTACAAAGAATGGTTAAAGCAGAAGAAGTGTTGCTTTTTGGAAGGGCTTAGTCAAAGTCCAGACTTTAATCCAGTAACAGTGTTGAGGCAGATCCTAAGGTGTGGGGTACATGCAAGAAATCCCACCAATATAACAGAGTTGAAGCAGTTCTGTAAGGAGGAGTGGACCAAGATTCCTCCAAATCAATGTGCAGGGCTGATCAACAGTTATAGGAACTGTCACATTTACAAAATTCACATGAATAACGGGATCACACACTTTCAAGCACTGTATATTCCTCTGACGGTATGTAGTTGCACAGGAGAAAATTACATCACTTGCGCCCAGAAAGACAAATAAAATCTTAGAAGCCAGTACATTAAAAGAATCTTAGCGTTATTAATATTTGTATATAACTGACATACCTACATAGTTTTGTAAATGAAAAACTGTGTGTATTTGTAATAGCTGAGTGCAATCATTGTTTAAAAATATTTTTTTTTATTAAAATAAATCAATCAATAGAAAAATTCTCAAAGCAGTAATTCATTTTGTCGATCCCCACCAAATTAGGTGCACTTCAATCAATCAATCAATTAATCAATCAATCAATCAATCAATCAACCAACCTTTATTTAACTTCAGAGAACATTGAGGGTGACCCTCATTTGCAATGTTGCTGAGTTGATACAGTAAAAAGGGATTGATAATTTGTAAGAACATGTCAAATAATAAAAGTTAATCTAACGATAAAATTACTCAAATCAGGTAAGTATAAAATGAAACATTAATAATAAAAAATACATAAAAAAACACGATAATATAAAACATATACATATAAAATGTAACTAAGGTTAATAAAATCAAAAGAAGATAAATAAAACAAAAGGAAGATAAGATCAAAAAAGGAAACTAAAGTTAATTGAAATGACTGAAATAATAATCACAATTAAAACAAGAATAAGAATATATATAATGATAAATAAACAAATGAATAAATGGAAATGGAGCTGATCTCTTTTACTGCTTCAAACATCAACTTTACACTCAGTTTAGTAAGTAAATATGACAGGTCAGTGTCATGAGTATTATGGGATTCTTTCAACAACACTTTGAACAGTAAGTTCTGGAAGCAACAACTTGGCCTGTTTAGAAAAGATAGAAAATAGAAAAGGGTTCATTTCCTCAATAACAGAGATAAAATATAAAGAAAAGCTTCATTTAAATCCTCTGATCTGTCATTTTCTGATGTCTATGTCAGAAAATGGCTAGAACCTGGAATTTCCCTGGCCAAGACTGAATCAGTCAGATTACGGGAAGAAAAGTGTGTATCTTTTTGCAACACGTGCAATGCAAATGTGGATTTCCCCCTGAATTTTGGATCACATGGAACATCAAATGTTATCCAAACCTGATTGGATATGACTCTGCTAATATGACAAAGCTGTGTTTCTGGTGATATTAGCATTATCACAGCTCTGGAAATTGTTTAAACAAAGGCTGCTTATAGAGCAAACTAGAAGGTTCCTGTGTTAACTCTTATAACCCTATGATAATATGGTGTAATTGTTTTGGTAATTTGGTATTTTTAGGAGTGCTAAGCTTCCGCTGGCTCCCCCTTAATTCAAATGCTGTAAAAAGGTCTTGCATGATATTGATTTACTTTTCCAACCAAAAAAAATCTTTAACTTGACAACACCATAATAACACGCACTAGTTTGGATGAAAAAAAAAATGCATGTGTAGTGATTAAACCAGGAGACAAAAGTAAAGCAGTCATAGGTTAGGGAGAAAACAAGTTAAAGCCTCTGGCTTTACACCAATTTAACAATCATTGACATTTTTCTTCTCTAATTACAAATCTACTCTAGCATATGAACAGGTATCTGGATGATGTTCTTGAAGGTAAATGAGGGAAAAGATTGTTGGAAAATACTGTAGTTTGACCTTTTATGTTGTACAGTGTTTCATGATCTGACTCAAGATCTTTGTCCCATAAATTTCATGTTTGAACTGAACTGTTTGACTTTGTAACTTGAATATTGTATGAATTTTTGTATTTATTAATTTATTACAAATTTTTAATTTATTTTATGAGTGTCCTAATTTTTTTTGTGTGTGTTGCAGACATCAAAGACAAACATGGGAATCGAGAATGCAGGTGATTTAGCTTCAGTCTTCACTACATCTCTACTGGGTAGAAACACTGGAGTGAGAGCAGGCAGGACTGCAGAGAAAGAGGAGTTCTAAAAACAGTCAAAAGCAATACGTGAGGAACGAGAGGCCGAGAGGAACAAGAGGAAGCGAGACCAATCAAAAGGAATGAACTCTGTTCCAAAAACACAGTTCTGTTTAAACTATTACTACTACTCAAACATGGATACCTGCAGAAAACTGCTGTTTGCATAACACACCACTGAGCAAAAACAAACAATACGACGTGCCAATTTGTGGCAGACTGTGACATCAGTACTTGGCCTTCAGTTCAGGCCATAGATATCTACAATAATGCTAATTTCTGCTAGCATGTTAGTATTAGCGCAAAGCTAAAGGAAGTCACACAAAATTTTTTTGATTTGTTTTTTTTAGATTCAACGTGGACATTTGAAACATGTAAAAGGCATTCCATGTTTTATTTGAAGAATTGTAATGGTTCATATTAACATATCGCTGTTTTCAGAACAAAACCCCATATCTCTAAAATCATAACTTTACAGGAGAAGGAAAAAACATACTTTACTTTTAATGTAAGTCAATGGAAACAGACTTTTTTACGTCATTTTAAGTTATTTTGGGCCATTTCTCTTGGTCCATTCTTCATTAAAATTACACACAAGGTAAAGGGTAACAGGCATTTCCAAAAACTGAAAAAATTATGTCAAAAACTGAAAAACAACAAAATTGGAGATACAACATTCTTCCGACAAAATATTTTAACTTGTAGCAGTTTCACAGTGACTTATATAGAACCCTGCCATAGAGCTGCTGTTGTTTTCCCTTTGAAATGCACTGGTCAGGCTAGTGCTTGCACTTCCAGAAGGCCTAATTTGACCTTTTTACTCACAAAAATGGTTCCAATCTATTGTAAGTTCAAATGTGATTGTTCATTGTGCATGCTGCCATTCAATTAGGTTGAATCAAACATTATTGCTTTCTTAATTAAAGTTGAGCCATAGCAATGCAAAAGTGTGTAGTACTTTAGTACTGTAGTAAAACGTCTGTATAGTACCACAATTATAACATTACTCCAGTTCTTTAAAATTGTTCGTATTTAAGATCCAATTTCGGAATTATATGGTGCTTAGCCATGCTGGTATCAACATTAGCATATCCAGGGACCTGAAGTGGGAGAGGAACATGCTGTTCATAGCCAGGAGAGCACAGCAGAGAATATTCTTCGTAAGACAGCTAAAGACATTTAACCTGCCACAGATGATCCAGTTCTAAACAGCAATTATAGAACCAATCTTCACATTATCCATTACAATCTGGTTTGGTTCCTCCCCCTCACAAGAACAAGCCAAACTCCAGTGCATAATCAAGACTGTGAAGAGGATCATTGGATGTAGTTTGCCCACACTTCAGGACATCTACAACAGCAGGGTGACAAAGCATGACTCCTCTTATCCTGGACATCACCTCTTCTAGCCACTTCTCTTTTGTAGAAGATTCAGGGCCATGAAAACCAGCACAACCAGACATGCTAACAGCTTTTTCCCCAGAGCCATAATGCTCATTAGCCGCAGTGGACACTTCACACTTTGAACTTAAACTAAACCATCCAATCTCCTTACTGTATTACAAGAACTCCTCTGTAACAAAATGCTATTTGCACAACTGTACAGATGTTAAATTCCCACAAATATTCATATCATTCATATTCTGCATATGATGGTTAAAGTATTTCACCAGACCTTCATATGTATAGATATTATTATCTGCATATGTACAGATATTTACTCTTCTCTTTAGCTCCTCCATGGCTTTTCATTATTCATTATACTTTATTCTATTTATTGTATTTTCGATTTAATGTTTCCTTAGCTAAATACGTGTTAACAGTCTGTTTGCTTGTCTGGTCTGTTTATTATGTCAGCAAGACAAATTCCTTGTCTATGTAACACACTGGGCGAAATAAAGTAATTCTGATTCAGATTTTGTTTCAGCAGAAAAAAAAAAAACATATCTGTTGGCCCGTAATGTGGATGTTGGGAAGGTCACAGATCTCTCCTGTTTGCCAGAACGCTGACTGTCACAATGAAGGCCAGAAAAAGAAATAAAGTAGGGTGCATCTCACTTCCCTAAAGCACAACCACAAAGACTTATTAACTGACCTTAAAGTACCAATGTATTTTTAGATAAAACATTCTGATACTTTGGGGTACAACAGCTGCACCGCACACTGTTAGAAATAAAGGTTCTGTGCAGGTACATTTTTCATTCATCAAGGTACAAACAATGCAAATGTCCCCTTAAAGGTACAACAGTGGGTTTAAGGTCCAGTTGTGTACCTTTAATAAGGTTGTCCCAGGGAAAAGTACATATATAATTTCAATGGATTATGGTATAATTATGTTTCTTGACCAAAGGTACTGAGATGTACCTTTGAGGGTACCACCCCAGTGACAAGTGGGGCACTTTTGACAGTTTACTACCTCTTTTTCTGAGTGTTGGGATACTGGCCAGGTGACTTGTGCAATTCTAGAAATTTTTTTTTTCAGAGATGTCATCACTCACACGCTTCCAGTTCTTGCTCCTTAATGCCTTTCTGTTCTTTGTAAGGTCAATGCCCTGAAACCACATATTTTGCAAGATCAACAAATAAAACGAATAAAAGTGGATGTAAGCAATAGTAACACACAGTCACACTGAGAGCTTTATTTCACTCAGCTACATTCAAGACAGCAAGACTTACCGGACCAAAGTCATCATGGAACGTGAGAGGCCAGGTGCAGTATATTCACACACACACAACCTCTTTCTTTTTCTCATTCTTCTGTATTTCCACAGCATTATGTCACTGTAGCTGCACTCCTAAAATTAGTATTAATTAATAACACACTTTCTTGTTTGTTCTTCTTTGCTATAATTTGTATATAATTTGTATATAATTTGAGTTTAAAAAAAAATTAGCATTAATGATGTAATCAGAAACATTTACCCCCACATACGCCTCTGACATTATTATTTCTTATTATTAGACATTTTTAGCTTAATTCTTTATTGATTCTCAATAACACAATTTTCCTCATTTTGACCACCACGAAGATGAGATGTATTATATTAGCTTCATGCTAACTGTAGTGTATATTTACTGTTCCACCATCCTTAATACTATCAGACACAATAAACTGAAGCCTGTAAGAAATATTTGAGCAATTTCACTTTTATGAGGAAATTTTACTATGAATTATCGATGTACACAAATATGCAAATAGCTCCCCTATGTAAAGAATCTTCAGATTGCTAAGAATGAGGGAGAGTTAGTTAGTGAGTTAGAAGCCCAGCCCATGAGCTGCTTCACATGCTTGTTTGAAATTAACGCAAACGCCAGGATGAATTTAGGTCAGGATAGACTTCGTTGTTTTATCACATAAACATATGAGGGCCTTGCCCAAAGATCCAACTTTGTTCTGTGAAAATCTATTTAATAACCTCTGTGCTATGGGAAACTGAATAATTCATAACTTCTCAATAGCCAGCCCTATGATGCATCATACAGACCCATCATACAGTAAAGTACTGTATCAATATCTGCAGCACACACCTACATATGTTTAGAATGCATTATAAATTCTGTGGTGTTGGCCTTATTACTTCTTCCAATTGATCAAGCATCTGAAAAACTGATACATTTGAAAATTCTTACATTTATGAATTTCTTTATAGTTTCAGTAATCACAACTGCATGGGGCAGATGCTACAAAGTGACCGGAGTGTGTCTGGGCCTGATGTGTGTTCTCCTGCTGCCTGCCATCACAGCGATGCATGTCACGTTGGAGAAAGATCAGCCACAGACCAGTGACAACAGCAAGATGACTGAGAAAGACCAGTTAGAGCAGTTAAAGACCAGTTATGAGAAACTGAAGATAGAGAGAGACCAGTTACAAGCCAGTTACAATGAACTAATCATAAAAAGAGACCAGTTACAGACCAGTTACAATGACCTTGTGACAGAGAGAGATCAGTTACAGGACAAAGTGAAGGAAATAACTGAAGAGAAGGACAAACTGGAAGTCCATTTCATCCTCACAAGAATCCTGTTGAACCAGCTAAAGAAGGAGAAAGAAGAACTTCAAAAGAGCCCCACTGATCCTGGTGAGTAAATACCAGTTTTTAAAGAGACAAATGGCTCTCCAAAAATCATAATGGAAGAAAAAATTGTAAATAAACTACATTTCAGAATATGATTTTTTCATTAATGTAGAACAATATTTATAACTCCTAATCCTGGACTAGCAATGCCCTGAAATATATATATATATATATATATATATATATATATATATATATATATATATATATATATATATATATATATATATCTCCTCACCTCCTCACCTCAACACCTCGATTCCTCACAATGACAAGAGTAAAAATGATAATTTAAGTTATATTTTGACAGAACTCCTTAGACAGCAAATTAACTCTCACGATTATTAGAAATACTGTGATATTTGTTTCTTTACTGAAATCTGTATTTCCTCTGTCCATGTTATAGGACATTTCAAGGTTGGAGACCGGGTCAGGGTGAAAGCCTCTGTTACTACTCCACAATACAAGTGGGGAAGTGCATCTCACAAGAGTGTTGGTGTGGTTACAGGCAAGAACATTTACTTTCATTTGCACAGTCATGTATGCAACTGTTAACTATCAATTGTGACTTGCAGTCCTATTGAATATTCATATATCCATCACACTAAATCTGTCTTGCTCTGTAGCGGTTGATGACGAAAGTATGATGGTGGATTTTCCTGAGCATAAATCTTGGAAGGCTGCAGTTTCTGAAATGGAACTGGCTCCCAGTACTGATTCAGGTAAGACTGACTATTATGGTGACACCCGGTGGTGGAACTCTATTTTTGTTACTCCCTTAAATTGTTTCACAGACTAAATGTGGGTTTCTGCTGCATCCTCACCTTGAAATACATCAGGGGTCTACTGACCTTTTTTACTCCAAGGATTGAGGGAAAATGGTCAGATTAAATTAGTTTAAAATTAGCTCCTGTAATCATATGAAATGTTGTGATATTTTTTTCCTTACAATGAAAACAATATTGCTTCTCTGGTACAGGATGCATCAGGGTTGGAGACCGGGTCAGAGTGAAAGCTTCTGTAAGTTCTCCAAAACATGGATGGGGAGATGTCTCTCACAAGAGTGTTGGTGTGGTTACAGGCAAGAACATTTACAGTCAATTAAACTGTAAAAAATACATTTTTATATTAAGTAATCATATGTTAATTAAAACTAAACTTGTAACAACTGTACATGGTTGAACAGTGACATTTTTCCCCACTACCTCTGCAGCTCTGGAAGGTGAAAGTTTGACTGTAGAATTTCCTGAGCAAAAATCTTGGAAAGGTTTAGTTTCTGAAATGGAACTGACTTCCAGTGCTGACTCAGGTAAGTTTGAATATTACAGTGACACTACAAGAAAGCATGCACTGGTTATGGCAATGGTTCACAAACCAGCCCTTGGTGCCAATCAAGACAGTGCACATTTTTTGCTTTAGCCTTTACTACACTTTGAAATTTAGCTGCTTTCAGGTGCAACCATTGCTATTTGAGCATTTCATTGCAATTGAGCACACAGCTTGTATATTCTCCATGGAAAAGCACTGTCATTAGAATGGCTCACCATGCCCAGTGCCAAAAACATGTATACTTGTTGTCATCCTTAACATTAAAGTCACTGTAACAACTCCTAACGACTTCATACAGGCTGGGCGATAAACCATCACGATCATGATTTATTAAAACGTTCTGCTAAAATATTAGAAGTGAAGGTTAAATCAGAGAACTTATAGGGAGGAGATTTAACACTCTGTAATGTCTTCTGAGTTTCTCAAACACTAGAGGGCGCTCCTGAGTGAGTCCAAAATCAATGGGTTAAGGTGGAGCAGTTGAGCAAAATCATAGTTAATAAATGATTAAACATTTCAAGATAAAAAGAATACATTCATTTCCTAAACACAGAACAGCATAAAACATTTAGGAGTTTAAAACAGCACCTTATGTACATCAATGACATCAGTGAGACTGAACAACCAATGAGCTGCTCCGCTCACCAACCAATCAGCACTCAGTAACAGTAATGCTAGCACAAAATCCATTTGTTTTATTTTTATATTTTATTATATATAAGTTTTATTTGCTTTTTTAGTGAAATACATTCTTCTACTTTCTAAAATTTGAAGGAAGGTTCAGGGCAATTTATTAGAAACTATTTTAACTCTTCCGTTTTAGCCTTTTAGCTCCTTTCACCCCCATTCACTGAAGACTTGCTTGCGGGTGCACTCTGGCGTTTTGCGGTCATGTTTTTATTTAATGGGGGAAATAGAAAGAGGCCAGGCTCCTCATAAACCATCTCTGGTTACATGCTGCAAGAAGTGGGCATGTGTTAGTGTAACCTACCAACAAATTCTGACACAGCATGTCATTCTGTTCACATGCGACACTGTACCATTTTCAATAACAATAGGTATGAATGGACACAGACTGGGAAATGGCTGCTGAGAATATGCAAGAATATGTTATCTCAGCAGATTAATGGTGTTTCCTTAATGAAATCAATATTTTCTCTAACCATGTTCTAGGATACTTCAGGGTTGGAGACCGGGTCAGGGTGAAAGCCTCTGTAAGTTCTCCAAAATATGAGTGGGGAGATGCCTCTCACAAGAGTGTTGGTGTAGTTACAGGCAAGAACATTTACAGACATTTATACAGTCATTTACACTGAGACTTATGCAACTGGAAAAATGTAACTGTTACTCACAGTTCTTCATAAAGTAATCACATCAGTTGCATGTGTAACAAATCTAAATGGTAAACAGTGCCCTTTTCTCTGCCTCTTCAGCTATTGATGGTGAAAAAATGACTGTGGATTTTCCTGAGCATAAATCTTGGAAGGCTGCAGTTTCTGAAATGGAACTGGCTCCCAGTGCTGACTCAGGTAAGACTGACTTTTATCATGACATCATAAAATTGAATGAACTGCTTGTAGGATTATTGGGCTTCAGAAATCAAATTTACACTGTAATGCCCTTACCGTGAATGCATAGTGAATCAGCCAAGATGTGTTTGGTGTGTGAAGTTTACTAGTTTTGCACTTGAGCCACATGGCTAGCATGTAATGAAAGCTTATTTTCACCTGGAGTTGAGAAGGTGACTTGAAAAATGTATTCTGGTACAGATTACTGTTTGTTAAAAATGTCATTTGTAACACAATCCAAAAGAAAACAATTACCTTTGCTTTCAGATTACTTGTGTGACACTCCAGAACTGATCAGTTGCTCACAGATGGAATTAGAAAAAGAGGCTTTACTGATTGAAACACCATCCACACTCATAGTCAAAATACAGGCAGTGGTCAGATCCAAAACAATCCAAAAAGACAAACATAACCCAAAGGCAGACAAAATCCAACAGGGCAAAGACAAAAGGCAGGGTAGAAAATCCAGAAAAACAAGTAGCAAATACAAGAAAAACCACTCAGCAGCTCACAAGAAAGTAATACCTCACAAAGACCTAACTAAAGCCCAGGCTTTAAATACTAACTATCATAGGTCACATAAACAAGGAAGACAGGTGAAACATATCAATACTCTGGTCAAGCAGAACGCTGATAGGTTGTGGAGCTAGAGTCAGCAGTCACGTGATCCCCAAGGGAGTTCTGGGAGTTGGAGTTTTCAGGTAGATCGGATCCAGATGGATGTGTTGACAACTTGTCTATTGACTTGTAATTTAATTAAATACCAGAGAAAATCAGTTTTAGCAGGATGACCTCCTAACACAAGATAAACAGAAATACATTCAGAAATATATTCTGTGCTTAATGTGTGAATGTGTACATCAATTTAGACCTTTCAGTCAATACGAGTCTGACAGATATGGCTGTGTACTATTGTTCTCAGTCTGGTTCCTTTTCTGTGCCATGTGGAATGTTCTTAATCTCAGTTAGATTTTTAATGTTACTTACATCATTCCAACTATAATACAGACCTACATCATCCCCAACAGTAACAGCAGGAAAAGTCTACTGTTTCTTTCTATGACTCATTTAAAAGCATGAGTACATTCAAAACACCATACAAAATTCATTTCTGTACTTAGGAAATCTGTTAAAGGAAACCGCTTTAGCAAGATTTTTGCATAAAGCACAATATTATTCTACCAAACCAAAAAACACTGGAGTTCTCCTTTAGTAACAATCAACAATCTTCAATTTTACATCCACATGATGTATCTGGGCTTGCCCAGTCCATTTTCCTAAACAGGCTACAGTGGCTTTTCCAAATTCAAATTGAGTAATAGCTGCAGGTATAATTAAAATGTGGTGTATTACAGGATACTTCAGGATTGGAGACCGGGTCAGGGTGAAAGCCTCTGTTAGTTCTCCAAAATATGAGTGGGGAAGTGCTTCTCACAAGAGTGTTGGTGTGGTAACAGGCAAGAACATTTACAGACATTTGCACAGTGATTTATGCAGTGATTTACACAACTGGAAAAAGTTAACTGTTATTCACAGTTCTTCATAAAGTAATCACATCAGTTGCATGTGTAACAAATCTAAATGGTAAACAGTGCCCTTTTCTCTGCCTCTTCAGCTATTAATGGTGAAAAAATGACTGTGGATTTTCCTGAGCATAAATCTTGGAAGGCTGCAGTTTCTGATATGGAACTGGCTCCCAGTGCTGACTCAGGTAAGACTGACTATTAATGAACAAGTAATGAACGCTTATAGTCACCTGCTGCAAACTACGTTCCTAATTCATTACGCACTTGTCTCAAATTACATCACATTGGTAGCTAATTTCAAATGCACTTGTTTATCTGGTGTCTGATGCTCTATGACAGTCTATAACTATATGCGTGTCCGGTGTTGGGAGGGTTTCTTAAAAATTGATTGATTACGAGTTTGTAACCTAAATAAAAGAATTAGTAATGTATTCTGCTTCCTTTACTTTAAGATTACTTCTCTTTTTAAAGTCATCTAATTAATACAAGACAATTTCAGCAGGACGAGACATTCCAGGTGTGACACTTAAAAACAGGGCTGAAGCATCCTTTTGTTTTTATGCAGCAAAAATCCATAAAATTTTACCAATAAATATCCATCAGACTGCCTCTTTCACTGACTTGACTCTTCTAACCATGTTATAGGATACTTCAGGGTTGGAGACCGGGTCAGGGTGAATGCCTCTGTAAGTTCTCCAAAATATGGATGGGGAGATGTATCTCACACAAGTGTTGGTGTGGTTACAGGTAAGAACATTTAAAGTCATTTATACAGTCATTTATATAGCTGTAAACAAGGAACTGTGACAGATTATCATGAATTATCATGTCAACTAAATACATAATATGTGCACATGGTCATTTTTTCTCTGCACCTGCAGCCGTTGATGGTGAAAAAATGACTGTGGATTTTCCTGAGCATAAATCTTGGACAGCCGCAGCTTCTGAAATGGAACTGGTTCCCAAAGCTGGTAAGCTTGATAGAGTTTTCACAGAAGATTACAAGGTCTTCTCATAAAATGTCTCAAAAATATCTTATTATTTATACAAGAGGTGTTAGTTGAAGATGATGCCTGAAGATTCACTGGGTAAATCAAACTAATTCAGATATCTAAATCCTTTATATATATATATATATATATATATACATATATATATATATATATATATATATATATATATATATATATATATATATATATATATGCTATATTTGTGCTTTGTGAGCATTGCTGTAAAGTGGAAATTTTATTTTCCCATTTGTTGAATTTTAGTAAAGTATTAAAAGTACTGAAACTGATTTTAAATATTGTGCAGCAACCCTGCTTTGACTAATAGGGTGACATCATGATAATCAATGGGGTCAGATATCAATCTGATGATGATTTTCACAATTGTCCTCTTAACCTGAATGTGGTTGATCAGCCAAAGCATGTTTGCTGTCTGAAGTTTACTTATGTTTGCACTTTACCTGTAAGGCGCACAAGCAGTGGTACTGTTAGCATCAGGCAGACTGTATGCCTAAATTATTGCATACTTGCAAACCACATCACATTGGTATATGCTGTATATAACTATAGACTGTATGAAGTATTCAGACAATTGTTTTTTGTTATTTAATTTACCTCTAGTGCATATATCCACATTACACATAATGTCTCTTGACTTTGTACATATATACAAACAAAAATATGTATTCATAAACATTTGGTATGGAAAAAAGGCACTATTCAGGCACTATTTTAAAATATACATATATGTAAAGGTATGTGGTTTGAACAGGTGGCTATTACATTCCAATACTTGTTAGCTACATTAGCCTTGAAACTCCAGTACTAAACCAAAAAAAGCTAACTTTGGACAACAAACATGTCTTGGCTGATCAACTACATTTAGGGAAAATGTCTATTTGACATTTATCTATTTGAAATACACACAATAACAAATGAACTCATTATTTTCTGAAAAATATTAAGCAAGTTAATATATGAACTGTTGTTTTTATTTGAAAAATGTTATTATTTGTCTCTTTAATTAAATCAACACTTCTTCTGACCATGTTATAGAGACATTCAGAGTCGGAGACCGGGTCAGGGTGAAAGCCTCGGTTAGTACTCCAAAATACAAGTGGGGAAGTGTCTCTCACAAGAGTGTTGGCGTGGTTACAGGCAAGAACATTTACAGTCACTTATACAGTAAATGACTCAAATTAGGTTACCATATCCAGTCATCCACATAATTATTGGCACCCTTGGTAAAGATGAGTAAAAAAAAAGATCATGAAAAAATCTGAAAAAAATTGTGGTTAATTAGCTCAGTCTCACCCTGAAAATACAAAACACACGTCACAATTATTGGCACCCCAAGCAATTCTTATGAATTCTTACTTAAATTGCACTTTTTTAAGAGTCCACCTAACAGCAGCAGCACTTTGCAGGCACTAGGGGGTTCTCAAGCACGCCCAGAAAATCGCTCAGTACCCCCATTAGCACCCCCTGAAACATATGGATTGACTCTTAAGGGGTGATCAATGACTTCCGGTTTTAGTGTAGTATAAATATGAGGTGCCACAGAGGCCCCGTTTACACTTGGTATTAACATGTGTCCTGGATGAACCAATCATAAGTGGACAGTGCTAAGTACAGATGTGAATGGCGTATAATGTGTCCTGGAGACACAATGTGATCTGATTACTCAAGCCACCTTTAGAGGTGGTCAGGGATGCATATGACTACATAACAAATACAGTGTGAACACTAAAGAGTCTTGATGTGTGACAGAGACAAAAGCAACTACTGTAGCTTCCTTTTTCGCCTCCTCTACCCTATGTTTACAAGTTGCATTAGCTGTTCATGTGGTCTAAAAATTTTTAAATGCCCTTTCATTACACAAACACGGACTTGTGGTACATTTTTGTCTGACAACAAATGTGTCTGTGGATGCATTCCAGACACACGAAATGCCAGGTGTGAAGGGCTGCACCTCTAGCTGTCCATTTATGATCAGATTACTCGAGACGGATGTTAATACAAAGTGTGAACAGGACCATAGTCAGTCATCCACAGGGAGAAGCTTAGAGGATCCACAAATTAAATAAGATAAAAGATTGTTGACCTTCATAAACCTAGAAATGGCTACAAAAAAGCTACATGTCTGAAATGCCTATATGCTTGATTAGGGCAATGAGTCAAGAGTGGTCTCAGACTCCTTGCTTTGTGTTAATCAATATCATCACGTATTATAGGAGACAACTCAATACTCTCAGTAAAGGGAGGTGGCACAAAGTACTAAATGCATAGTCGCTATTAATTATGATGCATGATTTTGTTAAAAGTATGTATTTTTGATAAGGGTTTTTGTTTTCTCTAAATTAAAGGTTAGGTTTTTTCTCATATTTTTATTGTTAATGTAACGGAACAATAGGCTCCAGCACCCCCGTGACTCAGAAGGATAAGCAGTTTAGAAGATGTGTGTGTGTGTGTGTAACGGGACAGACTTAGTCAGATGCTCGTGGTTAAAAGGTGAAAAAGAGGCTTTACTTGTTTGACCACAATCAAAGTAAGGCAAAGTTCAGATCCAGAATGAGCTAACTGGAAATAATCACACAATCAAATGCACAGATGAAATACATCAATAGTCAGGTGAAGCTGATAGGCGGAACTGGGTGGCCTAGACATCACATGATCACCCAGGGGGTTCTGAGAATTGGAGTCCTGAAAGTCATGGGTGGAGAATAAGTGACAGTAAGATTGAGCTAATTAACCATAAAGACCTTTTTTCCTCATCTTAACCAAGGGTGCCAAAGATTATGGATCTGACTCTACATGGTTACTCAAAACAAATTATATTTTACAACTGTAGTTTTGGAGCTGAATAAATGGTGCTAAGTCTGTATCAACTGTACATGGTAAATTGTTTTTTTTCTCTTTCTGTAGAGGTTGATGGTGAAAGTTTGACTGTTGATTTTCCTGAGCATAAATCTTGGAATGGTATAGTATCTGAAATGGAGCTGGCTCCCAGTGCTGACTCAGGTAAGACTGACTGTTATGCTGACTCTATGATATTAAATAGACTGGTTCAGTTAGACTGTATAAATAGTATAAATTGCAATAGTATTTAATATGTTGAAACACTGGTACTGAAAAGTTATGTTTTTATGTCTTGCTTAACTGTTAACCTATTGGCATGAATATAGAAATGAATATAGAATTCTAAGATTATTAGACAGCTTTTGTTTTCTAGCCTTCTGGAAGTCTATATTCACCATAGATCTTTAGATCATTTGAAGTCTGAGTAATAGTGCACTGTAGTTTTCACCATCATGAATAAGATTTTTGTTGAATCGAGAACTCTGTAGATTTAAGCTTGGAGACAGTCTGAATGAATATGGAGTATATTATAATGATTATAATTTTTCTTTTTCCGCCAGAATTCTGTAAATTCAAGCCTGGAGATAAAGTACGAGTGAAAGCCTCAGTAGAAACTCCAAAATATGAATGGGGATCCGCCAGTCATAAGAGTGTGGGCACGATCAAAGGCAAGTTTTATTTTATTCCATATAAATATATAACTGTTTGAAATAAAGTGTATTTCTTCAGAATGCTAAACTCTTTCTATCATAGTATGCTTTTAGGTTGTACATGTAAACCACATCTATGTTACATCCTAGCACTGTAGTGTACAATATAAATAAGCAAGTTTTTACCACAGATATTGAGCATAAAATCAGTAGTTATCATTCTGACCATACTAGCCAAAGTTACCTGTATGTCTAAACCTAAGAGGAAGGAAACTGGAAAGCACTGACATGCAGAAACTCATCACTACCCACAATGTTCATACACAAAAATAAAATAGGCCCAGGCAAGTTATGAATTTATATGATCAAGTCTTGTCATAACATAGGAACAACAGCGCTCATAAAGCTTTACTCATGTATCATAATAAAACACAACATAGTTTTTAAAACTGGGATAAATGTGTCTTGCGGAAAATGTTGGACTTTTTCATTAATACATTTTTCTTTTAATTTCTAATTAGTTCTGAAAATGGTGGTGGACTTCCCTGAGCATTCTGGTTGGACTGCAGATCCCTCAGAAATGGAACTGGCTCCATAACAAGCAAATAAAGAAGACCAGATTACAGAGTGAATCTCCACAACAAAAAATATTACCTAATTCAAAATTATTTGCAAGTGAATCAATCAAACTGTGCATGAACTGTAATCTGAATGCTGTCAGTAAAATCATTATATCCTTAATAATATCATTATCTGATTTTGTGCCTCACGAATGCTTGAACATTAATCAATCGTATTTGAGTAAGATTTGTCTGTTTTACCATCTCACTTATAATCAATGGGACAGTCCTGATTCTTTACAATAAAACATTTTACATGCCTCTTTTGCCAAAAATAATTATTCTTCCTAACTATGAGCCTCAACACATGTTGACTTAAATGTTTGCATTAAAAAATGTTGGTATTTATGTATCTGGCTCTTGCTTTCACATTGCTATATTGATATATTGGCAAGTGAATTCATCTTAAATCTAGTCAAGATATCTAAAAATTGCTCATTTTGAGATTGTTGTATGCTTATAAGATCATTTAACTTATTACATATTTCTTTATTTTGTTTGTTTTAAGTGATTTGAAGCGATTTAGTCAATTACTTCACTATATTAGCAGATAATTTTGCTTTTTTGAAGCATGTTTCTTACAACAAGCAAAAGGAGCCTTTACAGTGAAATCATTTGACTTACTAAAATCAACTTACTGAAACAAGTTAAACTTATTAAAACAAGTAAGAAATGTCTGTGAATAAGTTAAATCTTATAATAAGTTTACAACAAACAGAAAATAAAAAGTATGAGATATATTGTCTAGATTTAAGACAATTTTTCTTGCCAAGATACATTTTTTGCACTGCAGATCTTGGTGTAGGTTTTCCTTGAGTTTTCAGTATTCAGTGGAGGAGCGACAACTTACTTCTAATTAAAAAATAAAACCTTACTTAACACGAAACAGACAACAGTTAGACACCAAGAATGAGAGAAGAGGTACAATCTTTTATTAAAGGTTAAGTCTTCACAAACACAAGCATTAATCTGAGTTGCCTCGGCTGCAACTAAATCACACCAAGACATACATCAGTTTTTGTACACCTCTGGGCAAAGGAGGGGTTCACCTCTCTCTTTCTTTGCCCTTTTCATTTTATTCATCTCTGCATAATTTGGGAACTATTAATTCTTAAAATCATATTTGGCTACCAATAGGTGCTGATTTACATATTAATTTTTTGACCATGTCCAGCTTTGTCTGAAAAAGGACTACATCATATTTTGGGTATTTTCCAGAACTTTAGCTTAAGAAGTGCCTCTTATTTCCTGATCAAGTGATGGGCTCATAAACTATATTCTATATATAGAACTGTTTATTTATTGGCTGAATTTATATTGGTCAACTGTTTTCACAATGCCTCGCTAAAGCTGAGCTACATGATACTCTTTTCTAACAACTTGCTGAGGCTAGAGTTATTTCCTTCAATTGGCCTAATTGTCCACCACTTCTTACTACATGGAGTATAAAAGCTCACAAAACTCTTTAAAGAACAGTAAAGAAAAAGAAAAACGCATTCATCTGAAAAAAAAAATGGCATTCAGACCGCTTTACATATTTATTGATTAACCAGGGAAAGAACATAGTCGGCACAAAGCTAGATGGAGACCACGACTGAGCCCAGACCACACACACTGAGGCATCACAGAAAAATGAGGCATAACCAGGAAGCATCACTAAACAATACAAAAGCTCTTTATTGTCAACCTCACAAGATTGAATGCTGGGTGGTTAGCATAACACATGATGGCTTGGACAAACAGACACTGCATTCCTTTACTTACTTCACATACTTCCAGTGCACATACCCATTTCAAATTTACACACATTATGTCATTTGAAGTGGTAGCTACTTACTTATATGAACAAAAAGTATGTATTTAAAAGCATAGACAAAGATGAAAAAAAAATGATGGCAAAAAGATACTACAAATTAATGTTAGTATCTTGTTTCAAGTCATTGTTGGCAAATGCATCAACACATCTACCATAGGAAGTTATTCAGATGGTCCCTCTTTTGGACTTGCAATTTCAAAATCCTCCATAAATGTTATGTGGGACTCAAGCCAGGAGAAAAGCTAGGCACCTCACTATTTTTTTTAGAAACCAGTCTTACGTTAAGTTTGCATGTGTTTGAGGTCACTCTCTTGTTGAAACATCAGTCTTCTTCCCAGATTCAACTTCTTGCTGGACAAGATTAAATTGTCCTCTACTTTATCCTGGTACACTGCTCCATTCATGTTTCCTTGACGTGCAATGCCTCAAAACTGTTTACAGAAAAGCACATTGTGATGCTCCCACCTCCGTATTTCCCTGTGGTGACTGTGTCCTTAGGATCATACTCACAATGGATTATCAATCATTGCTAAAGAGTTCTATTTTTGTTTCATCTGAAACACGATGATTGCAGTACAGTTCATTGCTTATTATTTGTGTGTAGCTGTTGTTCCTTCTGCTTTCAAGTTGTCATGCAACTGTTTTTGTGTGATCACAGGCTTCTCTTCTTTATCTAAAGGCACACTTTAAAACACTGCATGGAGCACCTGTCTAGGAGGTTTGAAATTTCCACTTACATATTATTGAACCAACTGTACTGACAGAGATGTCTAAGGTCTTTGCTATGACTCTATAGCTTTTTTAGCTCATAGTTTTTTCACTTTCATCATGATTGCTGTCTGTTACAGTTGGATTGGTGTGTCATTTCTTTGGTTCATATTTCCTAGTTTGGATCTGTTCCTTACATTGATCTGTTTATTGGAAGTTGTTACTGCCAAGGGTGTCACAATCAGGTATACGTTTAGGGAGCTATTGCTTTTTTACATGAGTGATACAGGTTTTAGTTGGATGGTCTGAAACATTTAAATGTGACAAATCAGCAAAATAGAAGAAATTGGGTGAGGGGCAAATATTTTTTTCACAGCACTGTCTGGTCTGGTCTCGTATGGCTGGAAATAACTGCCCGGTGACATTGCAACGATGGCCACTGAGTGACTTTCCTATAAGGACTTTGATCACATTTAGCTTATTGCCAGCAATGTTTTTATGCTAGTCGTGTCAACTGCCTAAAGAATGCCTTAATTGCATTGAACACAGTTATATCTGCTGTGTGCTGTATTTAGGTGTTTGTGAAATGACTGGAATTTTCCTCCTTAAAATGACCGTTTGGCAAAACACAGCACAGTCAGTATTGTGGGTACTGTGTCACTGAGCACTGTCTCCACATCTGTGTCACATATAATTGAGCTATCAGTGTCCTAATGTTCCCACCTCCAGGGTCCCAGCCAGTGCCTGAATTAGTACTGGTTAGGAGCATGAAAAGTCCCTATTCACTGGCCACTTCATGGGTGAAAAAGCAAGAAGTTAAAAACTGGGCAAAAAAAACAACAACAGTCACATGACACAGGTGTCAAATGTTAACTTGACATAAAAGCTGACAAAAGCAGTATTTATGAAAGATGACGCATATTATAATTTGCTTTTATAAACATTCACAAAAGTTTGCCAGTTGTCATGACAAGCTTATGTATCATGTAGTCGTACCAATACTGCCCTACAGCAATGAACTACTGAATAAAATTGTTTGTTACATTCATAAAAACTCTTCTGAGAAATATGGTGTGAGTCAAGAGGAAAATCTCTCCTTTTTAATCTTTTTGCTGTTTTATTGAATTTATCTCTGTATCTTACATTGTTAAACCATGACAAAATGCACTGAAAGCAACAAAACACGTACCGAAAAGGTTTGGAGTGAGTTCACCTCTGTCACAAGGCTGGACTTGATTGATTAATCCAAGAGATGTTTAAAATCCCTTCATCCCAAATTTTGCATGCTCCTACTTGCCATGCAATGTGGCCCAGTGAAAAGTGATCCAAAATTGTGAGATAAACAATACAGTAAGCAATTATGGCAGCAAGGATGGCTACAGTGGCCATAAAAAGCACTGTCCTACTACAACAGACACATCAGTTTCCCACAGTGGCTAAAACATTAAGTTTAAAGTGAGTTAATTTCACTTGCATTAGAATTTTATTTACACTGGGTAACATCACTATTCCTTCAATGAACTGACTGTTAGCAAAATCTGTCCTTCTACAGTTCAGTAACAATTTTTTCCACCATTTCTTAGATTAACCATTCTGACTAATTTACTGCCACCACCGTTCTCACTACAGGTTTGTTTTGAGGATTTTTGGCATAGCTTGTCCTTCACTTGACTGCCTGAGGAAATCATAATTTTACAAATGAACAATTTAGTACCTTTTTATTCAAAGACTGTTTTATTCAGTTTTCTGTTGTTTTTCCATTTTTCTGAAAATATATTATCATGCAAGTAAAGGCACTGAAGCACTTCAATTTCTATGGTCACAGCATTAGTGCAGATTTATTTCTGATTGCTGTAGCCAAGTCTACAAACATTGACGCTTAAAGTCCCTGAAAGCACATCTACTGGAGAACACTGCACCACCACAACAGTGTATATTAGTGTCTGTAAAGCAATTTAGGAACTGCTTTGTAAAGAGTTACCATTTTGCTTTGCGGACCTCAGTAAAGTATTTTTTTACATTTCTTTCTCTTTTTGTATATTTTCATTTCTATTTAGCGATTTATTCACATAAAAATTGGTGGACTTTCCAAAACACTGTAGTTGGAAAAGTGATCTCTCAGAAATGAAACTGGTTCCACAGAAATGAGAAAGATTTGAATGAATCTGCACAAGAAAAAAAAATGCTTTGTTAAAAAATCTTTCAAAAAAACTTTTAAAGAATCTTTCTAACTGTATTAGATGCATAGAGAAAGTTAGCTTTCTGACAGAATGCTGTTCACAGGATGTTTTAGTCAGAAAATGTTATTAGTAAAACCAATGAGTATAATAATTGCAGATATCACCATCTATATGTGCTATGTTCTTTCATGATAAGCAGTTTTATGCAGTTGTGTGCTTGTAGATAAATCAAATGAATTTGAAACCTCCAAGTACAGTGTGTGTTACATGTATGCATAATCATCTACTTTATTTCCTGTATGGATCTTAATTCTTTCAAATAAGATGCCTTTAAATGCCTTATTGCCAATTATAAATATCCTACTTAAATATGAGTCAAATGCTTCTGTATAATAAAAATGCATTATTTATGCCTCTGACTCTTGCTTTTATATCTCAGAATATGAAGATGTGGTCCTAGATTTTTTCTTGAGTTTTTAATATTACTTGGTGTCACTTCAACTAAATGTTAAATAATTCTCTGAAATGGCTACATTATATTCCCAACACACATTAAAATGAACGCATAATTAGTTTTTTAACTGCAGTTATTATTTTTTGTTTTTAAAGAAAACATTTTAAAACCATTCATTTTTTCATGGCATAAGAGAATACTACATCTTTATTGTGGGTCTCTGAATCCGCCAAGAAAGAGGATGCTGTTAGTGGGGTTGTGTCTGATGAAAAACATCAGGGGTGGTCTGCGATGAAGTACTCCTGTCGCAACATGCAGAAACTAAAGATGGCAGCTGTGGCTACTGCAGCCTCTGTGCCCTCCTCATTCACCTCCACAAAGGCTTTGTGGGCCACTGCCGACAAATACAGCACCACCGTTCTCACTGCAGGTTTGCTTTGAGGACCTTGGCATAGCTTGTCCTTCACTTGACTGGCTGAGGAAATTTTAATTTTACAAATGGACAATTCAGTGCAATTTTTTTCAAAGACTGCTTTATTCAGTTTTCTGTTGTTTTTCCATTTTTCTGAAAATATATTATCATGCAAGCAAAGGCACTGAAGCACTTCAATTTCTATGGTCACAGCATTAGTGCAGATTTACTTCTGATTGCTGTAGCCAAGTCTACAAACATTGACGCTTAAAGTCCCTGAAAGCACATCTACTGGAGAACACTGCACCACCACAACAGTGTATATTAGTGTCTGTAAAGCAATTTAGGAACTGCTTTGTAAAGAGTTACCATTTTGCTTTGCAGACCTCAATAAAGTATTTTTTACATTTCTTTGTGTTTTTGTTTATTGTCATTTCTATTTAGCGATTTATTCACACAAACATCGGTGGTCTTTCCAGAACACTCTAGTTGGAAAAGTGATTCCTCAAAAATGAAACTGGCTCCACAGAAATGAGGAAAGATTACAGAATGAATCTACACAAGAAAGAAAAATGCTTTATTAAAAAAAATGAATCTATCAAACTGTGTATTAGGTGTATAGAGAAATTTAGCTTTCTGACAGGGTGCTGTTCACAAAATGTTTTAGTCAGAGAATGTTATTAGTAAAACCAATGAGTATAATTGCAGATATCACCATATATATGCGCTATGTTGTTTCATGATAAGCAGTTTTATGCAGTTGTGTGCTTGTAGGTAAATCAAATGAATTTGAAACCTCCAAGTAAGGTGTGTGTTACATTCATACGTAATCATTTACTTTATTTCCTGTATGGATGATCTTAAATTTTTAAAATATGATGAACTTATATGCCTTATTTGCCAAGTGCAAATATCATACTTGCAAACGAGTCAAATGCTTCTGTATAATAAAAGACTAAAACAATTTTTATTTATGCCTCTGACTCTTGCTTTCATATCTCAGAATATGAAGATGTGGTCCTAAATTTTCTCTTGAGTTTTTAATATTATTTGGTGTCACTTCAACTAAATGTTAAATAATTCTCTGAAATGGCTACATTATATTCCCAACACACATTAAAATGAACGCATAATTAGTTTTTTAACTGCAGTTATTATTTTTTATGTTTTTAATGAAAACATTTTAAAACCATTCATTTTTCATGGCATAAGAGAATACTACATCTTTATTGTGGGCCTCTGAATCTGCCAAGAAAGAGGATGCTGTTAGTGGGGTTATGTCTGATGAAAAACAGGAAGGGGTGGTCTGCAATGAAGTACTCCTCACGCAACATGCAGAAAGCATGATGCCAGCTGTGGCTGCTGCGGCCTCTGTGCCTTCCTCATTCACCTCCACAAAGGCTTTGTGGGCCACTGCCGACAAATACAGGCCCCCGTCACTGCTCATCCCTGTCAGATCTGCAGCAGCGGCCTGGAACAAAGAGCTCATGCCCATCTTGGTCAACACCTCCTCTAGAGAGCTCTCCTCCTCCAGTTTAAATTTTGGCAGATGGACGATGATGTCTGTTCCCGTATCCATGTTTTCTCGGTTGGTCCACTCGCGCAGCTTGTCTAGTGTCAGCTCACTCTCCAGCTGTTAAGTAACACGTAGACACTGTCATCACTGTCATATGACAGTTTCCTTTGTTCAGTAGTACAGGAGTTAATGGGCAGTACTTGTTCCCACACAAAGACACATCTGCACAGTTGTAGTTTCATTTTAAAGTGATATGAATTTAGGTGCATGTTTGAAAACAATGCATTAAAATGCATGGAAACTTAAACTGATTGGTGAGAGAAATCTTTTATAAAGAAAAAAATAACAGCCTTTGAAATGTGTAGTTATTGCAGTATGTTTCTGTATTAAATATTGCCATGTAATAATATTGTCACACTTCCTGGTCCTCAGACTCTCATACCTTCATGGACTCCACTTCCCAGAATCCTTCTGTCAGTCATGAGACTCTTCCAGCCAATCACAAACCACCCAGCAGATGGCAGTTGCCTGAATACTAATCACCACCACCTGTTTTGTTCTGTATATACACCAGTCTGTTTGAACCTTGTCTTTGCAAAGTATTGCCATTGTTTTGTCAGTGCATACCGAGCTGTCTTGTTTTTCTGATTGCTGTTCTGTGTTTGACCCTGCTTTGTTTCTCCTGTTTCCAATTCTCGATCCTGTTTTTTGGCTTACTCTTTTCGTGTATGACCCTCGCTTGTTTATTCGACTCTGATCTCGTTCACTCCCATGTATGGTAGTCTGGTTGCTGACCTGGTCTGGTGTTAACCCTGCTCATTTCCCTCTGAATAAACCTTACGGTTTATCTTTTATTTGCGTGTGTCTGATCTGTGAAACCAGCATTACAAACACGCTCACAATTTGACTGTATCTGGGTGAATGTGATTGGGGTGGCATTTAGCTCTTGTAACACCTTTTAGCATTTTTTAGCTTTTTTAACATTGAAAACACTGAAAAGCCATTTTGCAAGGCTTCTAAATGAGGAACAGAGTTGTTTTTTTTGTATAGAATTAGAAAATACATGTAATGTGGTTAACTAATGGTTAACTAACTAACTAGTTAATGGAAACTGATTTACTTAAAATGTGCTTTTAATTAATAATTTATTTTCAACCTATAGAAAATATAGAACATAGAACATTTACTTTTTTCTATATAGAACATAGAACATTTACATTTAGGAAATCTGGAAGATGCAAATTCCTGTTGAATATGTGACTTATGGAATATTCCGGATATTTTATTGCAGTGAATGTGTTCTATCCACAAGTCTGTGTATGTAGACTTCCATGCAACGTTTTATTCAGTCAGAGGGGAAACAAACTTTTGTTTTTCCAGCCAAATTCTGGTCAACAATTGTGAACAGCAGTCTACACTGAACATTATGATAAAAGATAATCCTTTCAGAGCAAGATATATCTGTGCACGTTTTCACAATTGCCCCCTCTACCTGCCGCACCACAACAACAGGCTGCGATTTGTCGTTTTGCACATATTCTTGAAAATGTAAGCAATTCTTGGCCATGTTTTTGCAGTGAAATGCACAAGAATCTCTACTAATAGGCAGAAGTTTGGCTTATGAGACTATCCAGAAGCTAATTACTGGCAGTAAACAGCCATTAACATACAAGTTCTTGCAAGTCCCATACATGCTAACAGTGGTAGTCAATAGTGAGAAGTATGATCTAATCTACTGGATGTAAAACAGTCTTCTTTTAAAGGCCTCTTTTTTATATCTACATGGCATGTGTGAATTAGAAGGTAACGAAAGAGTGGGTGTTTGTGCTGACCTTCTGGAGTGAGTCAGAGCCATCCTCAGCCTCCTGTGGAAGAAGCACCAGCATACTGAGCTCTTCCTGCACATATGGCAACTCCAGCACCTGCAGTTTGTACTCAGGGACGTACGCGAAGGGGAACTTGTGCATCTGGCACATCATCTGCACCGGTTTCCTCTCATTCTATTAAACATACACAAAGACAAGTATTGACAACTGCTATACTGTACCAAATAGCACAGTGAAAGGTTGTCCTGTGTTTTTTCCAGACTGAATTAGTTATTACACCTGCATATTAACAGTTAATTAAGTTCAATGATTTTCCTACTGATGCAATAATGTGTGTAGTTCTTTTCTGATAGCTTTTCATTATTTAACATGACAATTTAGCTTTGTTTATGCAGCTGTGGACAGGGTCAGCATTATTATATCTCTCTGTATTATCTGAATCCCACCTGATTTATCTTAAAGGGCACCTCTTTGGTATCTTCAGCATTAAATTTCTGCAGCCAGTTGCCTTTAAAATAGATAGCATTGACTAGGGCAAGTCGAGTCATTGCAGTGACCATGCCTGGCTTCAGAAGATCTTTGATTTTACCTGAGAAAGGAAAGAGAAGTTGTATTAATTTACAAGTGTGGTCTGACGCAGATATCTTTGTTATGCTGGGTTATGTATTTTAATTAGTGATGCACCACAATGAAAATCATTGAGTGAAACCGGAAAATATTCAGGACACACTGTGACAAAAACTCAAACTGAAAACTGAGAAAATTTGACAATAAACCGTTCATGTTCAATAAACTTACTAAAATGATCTATGTAGGCTACAGCATATGGAGTGAAATCCCACATCTTCACCAACAGAGAGCAGCTTTGGCAATACATGTGTTATGGTTTACACTGTCACTTGTGATTTTTTTTTCTTGTCAAAAACTGTAGCTAAGCCATGCTATCTGGGACTTACCTTTTAGCCCCTGTTGCTTTGATGCATTCTGCATATTGAGCAGTTTTAAAGTGGTATCTAGACTTTAATGGAGAAGTTCTGGGGTGTTGTAACCCCTCTTGATGCAATGTATAATATAGTAATGTATAGTGATTATAAATCACGTGTCTAATGTCCCTTGTAGAAACCATGACATAGATCCACACGGCCATCATACTCACTGTTTATCTGCTGTCATTTTATATGTCTGAACAAGACTGTGCTGACCAGCATACAAAAGCAAAAGAATCAATTTTAATTACACTTTCTCTTTATCATTACGATTCAAATTATTTATTATGTCTTAGACTTTGATACTTTGTTTTATCCCTATTTAATCTTTGTTTTTTCAGTCAAAACTTTTGGTGCATCCCTAGATATTTGTCCAAAAAAGATTCTGTTCTCACTCTCTGTCTGCTCTTCTACCCAATGGTTGATAAGCTTCCGTGACTCATCTGATTCTCCAATGAAGTCTACTGCCTGCAGGTCAGCTTGGTACAGCTGCTGAGTAGACTCCACAAACTCCTGCAACAAATAACAACACAGCCAGGTTACACACATTTCACAAGCACACAGGGTATTACAGCACCTGCTGTATATTACAGCTTCTCTTATCTTTTAGACTTCCTATCGATACAACAGTATAAAGGCAATTTTACGGCAGAAGAGACATGGCACACGTAGTAAGCCTAAACTGCTAAACTGCTGTTATTTCACATTGCATGCAACTCAAACATTGCGTTCATGAAGCAAAAAGTGTTTTTTTTTTTATTCGGTGCTAGTGCAATGCTGTTGTTCTTAAACTGTAGGCCTAGATTACACAATATAGGAAGAAAACTGAATTTTGTATTGTTTCTAGCTAGAAAAAAAAAAAAAAAAAAACACAAGTGTATTGGAGTGCTTCACATGTGATTTACCAGGGCAACATCATGTGATACACATGGGTAGTGTGGACTATAAAACTGACTACTATAGGAGGCATGGCCCACATTTGGTGTAAAATGGGCTTAACACTCACCATTTATTTTGCATCAATGCTGTGTTGGGACATTATTATTTGAATACAAGGTCAAGGGTGAAACTTGTGGTTAGACTGTGGATTAACTCTTCTTACCTACTGAATAGCTTAGCTAAATGTGCAGAACAGAGCAAAATTAAAATGAAAGGACAGGTGAGGTAGCTCACAGGTAAGAATTTGAAGTTCTTCTCTCCATAGAGCCTGTTGGCTAGCCTGAGGATGTAGGAGGCTTTGGGGCTGTTTATTGCAGAGTTGAGGTTCTTGAAATGACTGTGAACATCAGGGAGTGAACTGAAGGACATGACCTGCAAAAAGTTATAAACCAGTGTGTTCCTTTTAGTATGTATGTTGTAATTTCTTCAAACTTATAAGCTATACATCTGAACAGTTGGAACAGTTACAATGCTTTGATGAGCTTACCATGACAACGCAAACTTTGCTTCAGTCTAAAGTCAAGTCATAAACATGCTGTGAGTGGATCTGCATAGTTTTTATTGCACTCAAACAGTGATCTCTAACTGCAAATCACAGACTTTGAAAGGCAATCATTAGACAGTTTAGGCACTGTGGAGCTCTGCAGTGGATGTCTAGTCAAAATCAGAACATTGGACATCATGCAAACCCTTCATTGCAGTGGTATAGAGGGGTATTGCCCTGAGGTGTGTGGTCAAGTATGAAAAGATGGCAAATATTAACAAGAAATACCTGTTGGACTGTCTTTTTCCTGTGTTATGTTAATAAAAAACACTGCACTTTCATCCAGTCTTCCTCATTTCTGAGACTGTCTAATAAAAAAATATGATTTGCATGATTTGCCGAACTGCACACAGGATGTTCATCATCAGAACTTTAAAGGTTGTAGGGACGGCTAGCTGTGATGTTGTACGTTGTCCATTAAGGTCAACGCCCACTTAAATGAAGAACAGTTTAATCTGTCTCTGGGAGCAAGCAACTTAAAATGGACATCATCCTATTGCAGACACTCGTACCTTAGCCATTTCTTTAGCAGTGGTCCCTCTTGCTCCTAAGTAGACCATACTGAGTGCTGCGCTGATGCTCAGTGGTGAAAAGAACATGTTCCCTAATGGGTTACTGTCACTCAAGATCCGGTACAGGTCCAGGGCGAAGGTGCCATTAGCCTTAATCAGACTATCCATGGTGGATATCGATGAATGCCCAATCTGATGAAGAACAAAAACTTCCATTATTTGATCACGTGACATGAAAGTAGGCGTGAGAAATAGGACCATATTCATTGCTGACCAGTTATGTCATATTACATCACAATATACTTTTATGAACATGCATATTGCAACTGTTGTCAGTACTTAAAGATGCACTCTGGCCTCTTTCACAGTTTTGAGAGTGAGTTTTTTTTGTTAAAAACTAGGAAAACCTCCTTCTGATGATGTATTTTGAAGGTGGGAGGAACCTTAAAAAACTACACGGACACATGAGGGTGGGCTGTTTGAATTCCTTTTTGTTAGTCAGTGAATACAGAAGGAAGCCAGATAACCAACAGTGCTGCTAGGAAGCTGAATATCATGTCTGTAGCCTTCATATCTTTATCGCTCTTGGTGGGTTTCCCAACGGTTTTATAATTTACTTTGTCTAATGCACGCTGGGTATTGTAGTGAAACATTAATTGAAAAAGGAATGTTATTTTAAAGAACACTTGCAAACTGCATGTTTCATAACATGAGAGAGCATAATTAGCCCTGTTTTAGTGGATTTTCACTCATATACGAAACCAAAAGTATCCTTTCTACAACAAAATCCAAGTTTACTTTGCTTCAGCAGCACTGCAACGTTAAGACAGCGCTCAAGTGCACAGACTTTCATATAATCCAAACATGTAACCCATAACCTCAGTGCTCTTCGTCACTGAGAGATGTATAAACTGTTTATTCCTTCATGTAATTGCAAATGAAGGCCTATATCTAATCTGTTAGATTTTCTAGAAGAAGGCTGCCTGTTAGTGCTGTCCAGCTTGAAATGACTCCCACTCATTACTGAGTTGCAGGATATCTGCCTTCCAACAACTTTCACTTTTAATATGACGTACTGCAATAACCACGTCCCACAAATGAAAGATCAGCAACGCTAAGCCTTTTCTCCGTTTTAATGCAGCTCAAAGTGCGGCAAAAACAGTTGCTTCCACATTTCGTTTACGCAATGCAGTGTAAGCACATTGTTTATCAGCGGAACAGTGCAGAGTAGTGCAGTCCTGTGATACAGTCCCGTGATAAAGTCCTGCCGAGAAGACGACTTAACTCTGCAGAAGCACAGTGACAACTAGTCTGACATAACTAGCCTGTAGAGCCAAGCAAGGCAGGCTTTAGAAATACTCACATACGGAGGTTCTTCCCTGTGAGACCTGCTCTTCCTGGTGGGTGGTGCACGGCGACGCACTGGCAGCGTGAACGCGCACTTTATACCAACAGCGGCGGTGAACGCCCAGAGACGTCACACCAAACCCTCTCAGTCAGCGATGAGGATCTTTCAGCCTGATGATGATCTGTCCTACTGACTAACACATTCACCCGCTCGTTATAGCCACGAGGAAACCAGGATTCGCGTGCACTCGCTACCCATCTAGAATGAGAAAGATGTTCATGTGATGAGTTAACTGAAACCCTGATTGTGCACAGGAAGGGAAAATATAAGCCCCCTCCTCGCCGCCGCCCCTTATGATTCACAGTAGCCATTGCTGTTGTGCTGTAACTCTCCGAGGCAGGGGTGTCCAGTTATATCCGTGTTGCAGGTTTTCATTTCAGCAATGCTGGATCACACATGATCAGTCAATTAATCAAACAGGCAGAGTCAGGCTCTGCTCCTGCTTGTTTGGTATGAAAACCTTTGCGGATAAGATTGGCCAAGACTGGATGTAGGGCTGGGAATTATGACAATATTTATCATTATTGTGATAATTACATCACAATAAGTCACAATAAGCTGCTCTGAGTGTATCGTGGATATCATCAGCGCTTAAATAACTTTATATTTGATTACAAAAAGAGCATCATCAGTCCTGTTTTTTCAACTTATCAAATGTTCGAAAAATAGTTATATTGTGGCACGTTGTGTATCATGAACATTTCCTTGAAGTACTGTGGTTGATTAAATAAATGAAGAATTCAGCAGCAAGCAAATACAATGAAAGAGTCCATGTTAAAAAAAACAATAAATAAATACAGAAGTCTGCAAAGGTTTTAGGGACCAAAGAAAAGTCTCACTGTCTTTCAGTAACCACTTATTTATTCAAAAAAACACCACTATTACAAAAAATACAAATAATATTAATATAATAATAAGTGTTTTTATGTAGTGTATGTGGCAGGGGCGTCCAGGAGACATCTGGGAGAAAAACACATCGTTTTTTTTTAACTACTTTTTTGAAAACAAGAAATTCTTGTTACTTTTTACTGTATTACTGCCAAGATAAATGGCTTTAAATAACATCCGTAGGTGCCTGCTTATGCACAGTACTGTACACAACATATAGATACATAAGTGAAATGACAAACATAGGAGAAAAGAATATATAAATAAATAATTTTCACATTAATGATGAAATTATTATTGAATGAATCATACGAAAGACCAAAATTGTACGAGTTTACTTTTCAGTGTTCAGAAAACACAGAAGAATAAACATATGCAAACTCTTACTTTCTGCAGCTGGTTAGAGATCATTTCCCTGTAAAATATGTCTTTATGTTTTCCTGTAAAATATCTTTATGTTTGGCACTAAAATGTTAATTAAAATGTATATTGTGTTTTAAAAATACAGAAATGTATGAGAGAGAGAGAGAGAGAGAGAGAGAGAGAGAGAGAGAGAGAGAGAGGGTGAGGCTTATCTTCTGTGTACTTTAAGGGTTTGGTTGTTGCCCCCTCAGTGCTGAACTATGATTGGACCTGCTGATCTTGTTTCATCAGCTGGACTTTATCCAGACAGGGTGAGACATATATCAGCAGTGAATGCAATTTTCAAGGTTGCTTAAGCCCATTTCATGAAGCAGTGCAAGCAAATGCACTAAAAGAGTAGCTCAAAATGTTAAATACCATTTTGTGAGTGCAGCCTTTGCCATGTAGTTGTAGTAGGAGAAGAGGATGTATGACTATAGAAGTGAAAAAAAAAAAATAAAAAAAACTTGGGCTGGAATCCTGAGACCCCAGTCAAACCCTACCCACCCACCCTTGTTAAACAGAGACACACTGCGAGATAAGACTGAGGAACTGAGAGCAGATTGCTGGTGGGGAGTGAAAACTTGGACAAAATGTATAGTACAGATGGAAATTTATAGTATGTTAGACTTGAAGGAGGAGCCTTATATATATATATATATATATATATATATATATATATATATATATATATATATATATATATATATACACTTTTATGTGAAGAAAAAATGCCAGCAATGTTTTTGTCTTAGTGATTTACTTTAGTTCAGGTATTTGTCAGCTAAAGGGAAATAGGAAGCACTGTACTTGAACCTTGCTATGTAACATAAACATGTCATAGTGGATGTCATATGCTGTCATGTTTTGTCCTTGATTATGTCCAGAAAAATAACAGTGTCATGTTACCATTAAAATTAATTGTCATGACATTTAGCATATTGTTTCATATTGGCCAACTACAGTACACAGCAAAATTAACATGTGGCATAGGCTGTCATGTCATTTACAATGAGAATGTAACATGGCACTGTTATATTACGAAACACGAAATGATAAATTATGACAGTATATAACTACTACGACGTATTCATGCCACGGTCATGTCAATGTTATGAAGCAGGGTTAAGGTAAAGCAGGTAAAGCATTACCGGAAGCACACTGAAAGATTTGCATTTGGCTCTTTTGGCAAATGTGTTTCACATGTATGCATAGATAATGCAAAACTGCAAGCTTTGATACATCAGTGTGCAACATTGGTAAGATTTCGCAGTAAGATTTCAACAATAGTGAACATGCTCAAACACATAATTTATTAAGAGAAGACACATAAAACACTGGGGTCATGGTGTATGTCTTCAGTAACAACGTCCAAGCCTTAGAAAAACCCTGTTCGCTCTCTACCACATATCATAATCAGGGAAAGTCTACAATAGCAGCGAGCTAAATAAAATAAGAGCACCGGCTGAAGGACAGCAAGCCAAGCCAACAGATCCATTTACAAGCCAGATTAAGGCCAAAATAAATGCATCACATTAAGAGGGTTTTACTGTTTCAACACCTTACACACTGCACTTTACATATTTGGCCTGCGTCTGTGAGGTATTAACTAAACTCTCACTGCTGCTCCAGTCACAGCTGAAGGCTGTAAATATTGTGTGTTCCCTCAGAGGACCTCAGTGGAAGCTGAAGAGCATTAGCAGACTTTAACATAACATAATATAAGAGCCAGTCCATGTTTCAAAGCTAATAAGCTCATATCCTGTTCATAAGAACCTAGTATTTTGGTTGCAGCCTTCAGTATTAGTCTGTGAAAGTTACAGGCATTTGTTATGGGCACGTGTCTGAATCTATTATTGTCATTTGCTGTCTTTCTTTTCAAAATTTTAATAGTTATTTCTATTTGAATAATAATTAATTATACAGTGAATTACATATTTCATTACATTTACATTTGCTTCACATTAAGAATAATCACTACCGGAACACACACACACACACACACACACACACACACACATTCTAAGCTGCTTATCCTTCTGGGTTGTGGGGGGTGCTGGAGCCTATCTCAGCGGTCATTGGGCAGAAAACACCCTGGACAGGTCACAGACTACAGAAACGCATTTTCTGAAATTAAGTAAACTTTTTTGTATTTTTCTAAAAATATTATGATTTATGTGTGTTTAACTGCTCAAAGCCGCTCAAATACTGGCCTGCGTTTTTGAGCTCTGCTCAAAATGATCTAAAATTGTCACTATCGAAACAGTTACTACTGTGGAAAAGTAATGTTGACCATGTAATACAATAAACATAATTTAGGCATAACATGATTCAAAGTAAAAGGATTTTAGTCTACAGTCCAAGTCAGTTAAAAGTCCAAAAAGTTAAAAATGGGTTTTGAACTATTCAAACCAGTTCAGTGGAATTATCCATACATGGAGTCATGAAAAAAATTGCATCTCAATTCTTGTTGTTTTTTTCCTTTTTTTAATTTAAAAACTCCAGCTGTCCTTCTGCAGTTATTTGGAAAAAATCTTGCTACATTGACTTCCTTTATAGGTTCAGAAGGTTTTTGCCTCTTCTGTAAAGTCACCATTTCGAAGATTTGAGTTTATTCGAGCAGACGATCTGTACCTCAATACAAGCATATTGTTTGTATTCTGTGAATGCATTTGACCAAAGTGACTGTGATGTGGGCTGCTAACTGTAAGCCCTTCTGTTGCAGGCTCCCACTGCCTTGATCCACTCAGAACACATGGTGCTGAAATTCCACATGCCCGACAATAACAAGTTATACTCCTCCCCCCCGCTGTCTCCCATGCCCACATCAACACACTCGCCTGATTGTGTTTTCTCATTCACTGGACACTCACTTCAGTACCCACCTCAGAGAGACTTGCACATTCTGAACACACACTGCACTCTGACTGTGAGATCACAGTGCCAGGCTGTGGACTGAGAGGGGAAGAGTGGAGCATAGAGAAGAAGAGGAGAGAAAGTGACAGTTTAAAGGCAACTTTTCACAGAGATGGGAGGAAAAGAGAAGAAAATTGTAAACATTGCCAACCCGCCTACATATAAAGTGTGAGTGGAAACTGCTAATTTTCTATTCTATTTTTGCTTACTGTGTGTGTGCAATGAGTAAGAATCCATGCTTGACAATGGACAGCCAATACCACATAAACATTGATGAGCATTTTATTGGCATGAGAATGTTACAGTCAAGGTATTTTGAAGAGGTTTGTGTGAGTGGAAAAGTAGGTCCTTGTAATTTTACACTGCACCGTTCTGCATTCAGCAGCTGTGAGAGTGATGATAATGAAACAAGAGAACAAGAGGTCTAACATTAAAGACTCTCTCTCTCTCTCTCTCTCTCTCTCTCTCTCTCTCTCTCTCTCTGCATTCCACACTCTTGGAAAAATCTGTACTTTTCATGATACATATGCTGTCACTTGCGTAGCACTCTCAGGGGAATATACATTTATAATCCTGTTATATATTTTACATTGATTTGACTCCCTCCATCCTGCCTTGACATCAGCCTTTTTATGTTATTTGTTTGTTTGGGAAAATACCTTTAAAACTCATTAAAGGTATACAATTGACCTTCAATTCTTTTCACAGTAGTAATGCAATCCCTACCTGTTTTGGAGCTCCCTCTGTTGAACTATGCATGTTATTTCTTCCACAACTTCCTTTTTAGAAATGTTATATATATTTGAAAATGTGCATTATTTGCAAAATCGCTGGCAAACTGGATTTTTGTCTTTGTAGACGAACTAACAAATCAACATTCATAGAAGTGTTTTTATTAAGTTTAAATGCTATGTTTTTATGATGTCAGTACACAAAGCT